ATTTCTTTTGCGTAGCAAAATCGGTCGTCTGTTCCCTTCTGGGAGGTTAATCAATTTGAGAGAGTTACGGATTAATTGTATCCGTCTCATAATTACCTTTTCCTGTTCAACTAACGTCATGGTCACAAAAGTTCGAAGCATTAAACAAAAAATCATTGACTTTTCGCAGTTTTCTCAGGAAATTGATGTTCAGACACTTATTGGTCTAGAGCATGATCGAACAGTTTCATGTATCATCATTCTAAGTTCTTTCAGTGTTTTTTTTTGAGTTTACATTTTCAATTTCGGGGCTGTAAAAAGTGCCGAAGTAAAGCTGATTTCTCCTTCGTTTCCTTGACAGGCGTTTTTCGGAACATAATCTAAATGTACCAAAATAAACTTTATTTGATGCTTCCTGTAATAAGTTTCAAAGCAGAGTTTTTCTAGAGATTTTGCCCCTTTGGAGGATGGATATGGGCTGCTCCTCGTCATTAATGGAATAGAAATAGGAATATAATAAATAGAAATAATTTCAACGGAATCATTTTTAACTGCCGAGCTCTTCTGAAACACTGGAAAGTCATCATATTTCACCAGTAGTTTCTGCGGTGTGCGTTTTTTTGTCGAATGCCATGTGTTTCTTTCAAAATGGTTCAAATATTTTTTTATAGTTGCATGATCAAATACAAATCTGGTACCATAATGATGGCGCCAAAAAAAATTCCGTTGGGAAAAAAATTACGACTGGGCGGATGTAGAAACAAACTAAAGAAGAATGGTTCGAATCTTCGTTTGACCATAGTTGTTAAGTTGAATTTAGAAAGTTGTTGTAAATTATTATTCTTCCTTTTCAGATAGTTGAGGCTGTTTTTTGTGTTTGCTTTTTTTACTAGTCATGACCAAGTATGCAAATCATGATGCTGGAAAATTCTGGGAAAGAGGACGTCGTCAAGTGAAGCAGACTAGTGTAATAAGTCCATTGATCTCCGAGAAGAAATTTTTTCATTACTCGTGGTATTTAAAGATAACAGGAAAGCGAACGTTTTGGAAAAGTCTGGATCCCATATTTGGGGAATATCTAGAGAGACAATTTTGCGACCCAAGTATAACGAATGTTTTAGTAACATTTCAAGATAAAAAAGTTGATGTATCATTCACAAACAAAGGCGAAGTTCATGTGAACACTCCATCGATAGAATTGATGAGAGAAGGGAAGTCATTTATTTCTGATCAATCTTGGAAGTGGTACTACGCCGAGATTCAAACTGAAGACAGTTCGGAACTGAAGCAAATGCAAAGAAGCCCCGGCCATTTCTACGGGTTGTTTCCTACAATTTTGACCAGATTAAGAAAAAGTTTGCTTTATTGGCCATGTGTGAAACATGTTCCAATTCTGTCTTCGAAAGGCGAAGTGTTTGACAGTAAAAAGATAGAACAGGCTTATGCCAAAGATCCAGAGTCCCAAATTCTATACACAGATGACAATGGCGAGGAATTTATTTTGGATTTTAGAAATTTTAAAAGACGTCATTTAAGGACTGGTACAACGAATGAATTGGTCAGACGGCCGTCTACCTTTTGGCCTTCTAAATTACCAATGAAGGCTGCCTATGTAAATGAAATACCGAGAGACTGGAGAAACGACAAGACGCTGGCTGATTTTCCAGGAACGTTACTGAGTGAAAGTGACCCGAATTTCATTGACATTGAGCGTCACGTTTGCAAGTATGCCGATTTACGTGAGAAAGTGTCCGTGACAAGAGTAGAGAACGTCGATTTATGGAAAGACTACCAGGACAAAAGAGCTCTTATGGTGAGAAAGTTAGGGGAAAATAACTTAAATGAAGTTCTGCTTTTCCATGGAACAGCGGTGGGTAAAACTGTAGGTATAGTTTTGAATAACTTAGATCCGAAATACTGCAGGGAAGTTGCTTCTTTGGGATCTGGTGTTTATTTTTGCTCCGATTTGAGTGGAGCTCTGTCCTTCTCGCCTGTTTCCAGATCAGCAGATATGTTACAAATTGAAAGATGTTTCTTCATTTGTCTAGTCTTGATGGGCGAGAGCACTCTAGGTTCTCCTTCTATGAAACGCCTTCCAATGAAACCAGATAGAAGAGGATTCTTCGACTCTTTGGTTGATGTCTATGACACGCCGGAAGGCAAAGGGCCTAGATATGCAGCAATTTTCGATAAATCTCAAATTTACCCCCTTTTTATGGTTCGGCTTACTGAGGACGTCGATCCAATGACCGTTAATAGCAGAAGTACTGAGTTTGGCGAAGGATTGAGTTCTAGTTGTCGGAAATTTAGACAAGAATCATGTGGAGATTGTCAGCTCACTGGTTCTGGAAACATTCTATCTAGAGTTACAGATAAGAAAAGTAGAAGACGTGACATTTTCAAAGACGAAAAGCTTCTTGATACGTTTATGCGCGATTACTGGATCTGGACGTTAAGACATGTTCTCAATATTGACGATGATGACATAACTTCAGATAAGCCAGCGTGCTCGAATAGAGGTCAAAAAAAGGCGTGGGTAATGCCTCGTCAGCGGAGAAGAGAATGTACCGAAGAAATCAATTGGAGTACTGATTTAAAGTATCCAGAAAAATCTGAAAAATTTGAAAGTTGAATTGTTGCCTTTGGATTAAGAGATTCGTTAAGTTTTAGGACATAAATATTAAAGGTGATGAGGCTGGTGATTTTAATAACTTCGTTTCTTAATCTTGTTTGCTTATTTTTTGTCGGATTAGTTGCCACAATATGGACTTTGTATTAAGCAATTTTCACCAATGTCGTAAGTCGGCTTACCCAAGTATTGCCGGCTTTTTGAAAACTCATTAAACGCTGCCGATTGTATTTTTGACAGGTTTTCTTCAAATGGTACTTCATTAACCTTTCGATAAGCAAGGGTATTGCAATCGGGTACTGGACTTTTTTGTAATAACTTTGTTCACAGGACTCGTTTGGACTCCTGATGGTACTTTGATTCAAATTTCCTAGTGTCTCTTGCACATTTAGCCTGGTTTAAATCCTGTGTTTAAATGTGACTAGGACCTGTTTTTTGTTGGGTTCAAAAAAAAGTTCGGCCTATTATTTGTCTGCTTATGCTTTTTTGGCTTAGTTTTCACATCTAAGAATCGTTTTTTTTTTCACTGTAATTGTTTTAAGTGCTTTGGTTTTTTAAAATTCCGACCGAATTGGAATTTGTTTTATACGTCGGTTGTAATTTTACCAGCTCGATTTGTAAAAATTTCTTTTTTTTGTATAATTTTTTGTCTTCTTATTGGCTCAATAAGTTTCGGTTTATCTTGTATCGACCTTTTGGCCTCCGTTTGTGTCGTTTGGGGATCGAAAAGTGTTTTGTGCGCGTGCGTGTGTTCTGAGGGGAAAAGGGACATGATGTTTTTTATTATCTTACAATTTTATTTCAGCATGAAAGGTTTCGGCTCTGGTATTTTCGCCTTTGTTACCGCTTGGTAATTATAAATTCAATCGACCATCCGTCGCATCTGGCGTCGAAGTAATACAACTGCTTGAGACCGCAAAGGGTTGCGGTTGGAATCTGGTGGGGACCTGTTTTTTGCAAACTAGATTTTTCGGGCTGTCGTCCGTCTGTTCATTTTTGTTAGCTTAGTTCGGTAACCCGACTTTTTTTTTGAAGGTTCGGCTTCTTCCAAGTTGCTGTAATCCTAATGGTTGAGACGACGAGCCCGTGAGTTGGATTCCAGTCGAGACCTGTTTTTTGCGAATAGAAAATTTTTGGGTAATTTAGATAATTGTCGATCTGCTTATTTTTGTCGGCTTAGTTCCGCAGAAAGACATTTTTGACAACTCGTTTTCTTTATAGCATCCCGAAAGCTCTTTGTAGCATCCCGAAAGCTCTTTGTGAATTTCCTATTGATGCAGGCAATTTCGCTCCGGGTATTTTGGTCTTTTTGAATTTTTTTTCATTTGATTTAAATCATAGTCATTCATATTTGTATCGCAAGTAGTGCGAAGCTCAGCTTCGCCTCGGTTTTTGAAACCTATTTTCTGTTTGCAATGCTGTTTGTGTGGGATCGCAAGTGGTGCTAAGTGCCGCTACGCCTCTGTGTGAAGCTAAAGGTTCCACCTGACCTGTTTAGGGGATTTTTTTGATAGTCAAAAAATCAAAAATACTATTGGAAGCATTTCACAAACATCGCCCGATTTCATTTGCTTTTTGGGTCTAATGGGCTTAATTGTTTTTGTCGAAGTCGAGATTGTGTGAGTGCAAATAGTTTTGTTTGAACTAATTTAAGTGCTCATTGTGAGATATGATGCTCAAGACGCTTAACGCAAGCTGCGAAATCATGAATTTCTCGTAGTTGACCTACAGTATTTGAAGAAAATTGATATGAACTAAATTTTCTGAACATATTAAATTATAAATTGCGTTAATTCTGTGTTTATTTGTCTGGATACTCTAAATCAAAGGAAGGTTCTCCATATGCCCCGGAATTTTTTTAAACAATTTTAATGAGTTGAAGACTTGGAATTGTGATTGAAAACTTGATTGAGACGCTGATCAGTAACAGAAACAATTGAACACATATTTTTATGAATTTTGTGAATAGCTCTATGAATTATTAGAATTTATTAATTTGAAATATTTATATTTGAAAGCTGGGAATTGAAATTTTAACAATGATTTTTCTTGTTTGAGAGTTGTTGCAGATAATTTTACTTGGCGATACAGTCCTAGGTTTTTCTCGTATGCCCCACGAAATTGTTATTTTGACCAAAAGATGAAAAGAAAACACTTGTCTGCTTGATTTGCTGGAAATGATGACTTAAAACCTGAAAACTTAAGATTCCTAAATCGTTCCTTGTCTTTCCAATCATGTCATGTAATTCATAGAATTTCTTTAGCGCGTTAAATTCTGCTTATTGGTTCATTCTTCCCCTTACATACAGAATTTCAAGAGTTAACCGGAAGCAATGAATTCACAATCAGGGGGTCGTCTTCATGGTTTTTCTAGAATATTCTAGAATTTCAGGTTCAGCGATGAGTGGAGCTCTCATTTCCAGTCGCAACCTCGCCCACATTCTCCTTCCCCGGTGCCATAAGTGTCTATCCAGCCTCCTCATATCGAAACGACAGCTCAATCTTCAGGAGTACCAAAGCAAGAGCCTCATGCGCGAGTTCAAACTGAACGTGCAACCATTCCACGTTGCCGACTCACTTAAAGAAGCCGAGCGAGTGTGTAAAATTTTCCCCTGTGATGAGTACGTGGTCAAAGCAATGATACTAGCTGGAGGTCGGGGCAAAGGAACTTTTTTGGAAAACGGGTTCAAAGGTGGAGTTAAGTTGACGACTGACAAAAATGAGGTGTTGAGTTTGGCGGAGAAAATGATTGGAAACCACTTAGTGACTCATCAGACAACGTCTACGGGTGTGAAAGTGAAGAAAGTCATGATAGCTGAGTCATATCGGTGCGTTTACTTTAAATTTAATTATTCTACAGAGATTTTTCAGAATGTAATTTTATAGTTTTATCGCTTGAATAGCTTGCCTAGAAAGTTGTTTTTGCGAAGCAATCAATTCACGCAGTAAATTAACTTGCCGGCAATAATTACGCAGAAGCGCGTTGAGCTAAAAAAAAATACATACAATTTCCTTCACCCAGCTCGGATTTCCCCCAGAAGCGCACACCCGCACAACATCTACTTCCGCCGTTCAAAAGACCCATTAGGAGGCAACTTGGCCGATGTAACATGATCCTGAACATTATTAGCGGATAAAGAACATAACTAAACCGAAATATACGGAAATTATACAAAATCGAAGCTAGTAGTTTTACAACCAACATGAAAACAACTTGGGAATAGAACGAACTTTAAATGCGAACATGCCCTCTGTTGGTTGAAGCGATTTTGTAAATGCGTAAAGTGAAGTAGTGAAAAGATAGTGATTTTGAGACGTCTTAATTTGTTTTCCTTCTTTAAGTGTTTTAAATTTTAGGTTTCTTCGCCAGGGGGTAAAAAAAATGTCTGGTTATGGTTGTAAATTTTTGTTATTTTTTCCTGGTTACCGTACTGGTCTAGAATTTGACCAACTTGTTGTCAAAGCTGTTTAACTTCTTGCTAATCATTGTATTCAACTTAAACCTGTCTACCTTTTGGCTCAATGCCGCTGGGCGAACTGGTCAAACTTCGTTTTCTTGTCTTGTTGGCTTTAAATTATGCGAAGCATTTTATGGAAAGTTTTGAAGTATTAATTCAAAAACTCAGTACGAAACTATGAAATCATAAGCGTTTCTGCAAGGAGGCTACGAAACAAAAGCAATTGATGTAATTTCTCTTTTGGACGAGACGTATAGGGTAAACCTTTATAATTCTTTAATGATTATTTATTTGTTTATCGTTTTGCAGGATAGTGAAGGAGGCCTACTTTGCAATCGTGATGGACCGAGACTTCGGAGGACCAGTGCTGGTGGGATCCAAAGAAGGGGGAGTTGACATCGAGGAAGTGGCAGCCTCAAACCCAGACGCCATCTTCAAAATACCTGTGGATGTGACCCTTGGAATTACTCCTCAACAGGCCCTGGAGGCTGCTAACCAGTTGGGTCTGGACACCCCTCAACAAGTAGAAGAAGCAGCTGATCAAATACAGAAGTTGTTTCATCTATTTTCAGTCGTAGACGCCACTCAAGTTGAAATCAATCCTTTCGGTGAGTTGTGCACTATTCTCAAAGCAACAATACCTTGATTGTCACAAAACTGATCAGAATTTTTGGAGCTAGTTTTTATGTGGCCGTCATCTAAATTACTCAGCCAGTGATTGTCTTTTTTTTTTCAGTACTATTCATTTGAGCATCGCTAAAATGCTCCCAAAATGGTGCACAACTGGTATTTAGATAGTTGCACTTTGCTTTATTTCAAATCTATTCCGCCACGCGATATGCATTGGTTTTTGAAATGGTTGGGCGTCAATTCGTAACTAGTGACAATTCGTAACAAGTTACGATTTGTAACAGATGAAAATTGAGTGGTAAAGTAAAAAAAAACAAACGCTGAATTCACTTGTGATGTTTTATTTCATTTGCGAGAGCGTGGGCACAGGCTGCTAAAATGCTCAATTTCTTGAAAATTAAAAAAAAAATACTATCATTTAAGCAGTAAGATTTTGGAGTTCAGATTAGGCAGTAATTTGTTTTCTCAAATAAATTTATTGTGGAAAAAAATTACTGCCTTTAAAAATTTTATCTGTATTGAAAAAATGTTGGTTTTGGACCTAATTTATTTCGGTTCATTGTCCGTTTTTTACACTTGCGAGGTTGCGAGCGTTAGTGTATTAGTTCGAACCTTTTTTTCTAACCTAACTTGCAAATAAGTGTTCACTAAAAGTGTGCACTTATTTGGTGGCACTTTGGCTATAATCACGATCTGTAACGTAGGAAATTTCCTAGCATCTGTTCTCTGCTTTATTTGCGACAGGTGTTTGTGATTCATTAGGCGTCCTTGGCTGAGTGGTTAGTGTGTGAGACTCATAATCTCTCGGTCGCAGATCGAATCGGAGACGTAGCCGAATTTTTAATAATTCGAGGCTTATTTCTACTTAATCTTATTGCACTGTGTAAAAGCTGTTTTTGTCGTGTTCTCGCTAGTATTTGCGAAGCGCAGCTTCGCGTCTGTGTTAAAAAATACCATTTATAATATCTGGTACGGTTTTTATCGGGTTTCGTTCGAAAGATTAGCTTTTTTATTGCTACAGCTTTTACTGAAATTGAAAGTTCTAAATTGTAAATTTACCAAGTCTGATTTTGAATATTTCTAGTTGTTTTTATTCGTTTTTTTTCCGATTAAACGGTTTTGGGTTGCACTATACTGGCTAAGTCTACTTAAATTGTGTTTGTTTTAGAAGGGATGGTTCGTAAAAATTTTTTAAAAAATTTATAGCTCAAATTTTATAAATGGGGTTCGATATAATTTTTGTCGCCTTAGTTTTTGCTCGGTTAAGGCTTCCCAATGCTTTTTAAGGCTGTTCATGAAGATCATATGAGACTATAATCAATTTATAATATAATCAATTTGCGATAGCATGTGTGGTGCAACCGGGTACTAGACTGTTCTTCCGGTAAAAAAAAAACTGTTAATAGGACTTATCTCATGGTCCCCTTTGTTAGAATTACTGCAACTGGCATATTTTGAGCATTTTAGTTTTTTCAATATCCGTCGTATTTGAAATTTACTTATTACATTGTTTGTAATGTTACATCGATTCGATAATGTATATATATATATTTTTTTTTTCGTTTTTTCCCTTTGTTTGGCTTATTAGCCTAACAAATCTTTTAAATTGGCCTAATGGCCTCATGTTGCTTCGCTTGATGAGTGGAAACAAGTTTTCTTTTGCGTGTGTTTTTGAATGAGAAGGGTATTTGATATTTTAAAATAAGTTTTCAAGTCTTTCGAATTTATTCGACTGCAAGGTTCACATTTTTTGTGTTATCAGTGTTTTTAAATGGGCTTTAATCTTTTTGATATATGTAAGTTTTTTTCGACATTTTTGAGTTTTTTCACTTTTCCCACTAAGCAGCCTTGTTGTTTTCCGACTAAGCGGCCTTCTCTTCGCCTCTATGTTAAAACTTAAGTGATTCTTTCCAAAAACATTTTTGTGTTTTGTCCCTTTTTCTATTGACTAGAATTGAGTATATGGATGTTAATTACCCGTTCATAGGCAGCGAGAAAATTGACGTAGTATTTTGTCAAACAAAATATATATTGAAGTTAAATTAATTAGGCGTAAATTGAGTCCAACGTTTTATGTCAGAAGTAACTTGGTCTGGTTACTTTCTACAGTTTTCATAATGGCGTAGTTATTATTATTTGCGAAAGCGTATTTTATAGGCTTATTTTGCCTGTAATTGGGAATAAGGCTTTTTCCATAAACATTCTAACAAATCTGAAAGAAATTGAACTTGCTTTATTATTATGGAAACATCAGTAATCGAACTTTTTTCAGTATGAAATTTTAACACCTTCCCCTTTTTTCACTTCTGGCCCCTCTTTTCTATTTTTTGATGCAATTTATTTCACTTTTCTGGAAGTTTTGAATAGTCGGACTATCGTTTGTCTGTTAATTTTTTCTAGGCTTAGTTTTCAATATATGGAATTTTTTCTAATTTAAACAATTGGAAATCGTACTGTTTCTTGGAAATATACGAACTTTCAGGACGTTCTTTTTTCGTTTTTCTTTCGGTTCAATGCTTGAAAGGTGGCCGCTCGGTAACTGATGCTAAATGCTTATTTTACTCTTGCGATTGTGTTTTGTGGCTGTTTTCTTGGAATTGAACATCAGCCGAGAAAAATGTTAAAAAATTTTTGTAGATGTAGTTTTTTTTTCTTCATTTTTTAGTTAGTTCTGGATATGCTCACATTGTATACAGCTGAAAACTTAAATTGCTCAGTACGAAAGCATTGATGAGCATAATTTCTATAATATGGGATGCATTTTTCTAGCTGTTTAGAACGTTTTTCCGAATGTCATTTTTTCCCCGGCAAGACTTGCTCTTGTTCCCCGGTATTTTCAATTGGAGTGATATAGTGTGAATGAATCATTGTTTGCAGCTTAATCTAATTCATGCAAAACTGACTATTAGTTGTAATTAATTGTCACTTGTTTCGAATCGCAGCTCCATGCTTTGAGGTATTGCACCTGGGCTGCGTAAGTATCTGACAAAAAATTTTCGGGTACATTTTTTAATATATACTCGTAGCTTATATCACTTGCGAACCTTGTCTGCCTTTTTACCGTTCGGTAAGTTTTTTCTCATTGCTAATATAAAGCTCGGAATTGTTTTCTTCAAATTGAACATAGTTCGAGACATAAATATGAAATTTTTTTGTAAATGTGTAGATTTTTTGACATTATGACTCTAAAGATGTTTCTTTGTGTGAAATTTCGGCGGCTTTTCCTGTTGAATATAGTAAATTAAAACGCCAACTCATATGCCCTGTGCAATACAAAACCGAATTTAAGTCATGCTAATTAGTCTAAAAGGTGAGGGCGTTTTAGAAAATATATTTTAGCGGATAAATCAAGCGGATAAATACGTGTTCATTGCAGTGGAGTTGGAACGATGAAACAATTTTCCGCTTAAAGGTCTTGTACTCTAAGCTTTGGTGCATACAGGAAGCTCATATTCATAAGTGTTTTGCCGCTTGCAATTAAATGGAATTATTTGATTTTTGTTTACTTTTTAATGAAGCCAATTAATGGCTGATTTTTATCGAGCAATCAATTTCTTAATCAATATGAATAAAATGTGAATTGTCTGTTATGAGCACGTTTGTTAGCAATTTCATTTTTCTGATGCTTTCTTTTTTATGTAAATTTTTGTTGTGATGACTCAATAAAAACATGCGATTGTAGTCTGATTATTTAGTTTGTATATTTCAACTTTAAGCATATTATTTTGTACTTTATTGAGAAAGCTATGATGAAACGGACAGAAAGAAAATCTGTTTCTGATTTGGCTTCCGTGATTTTGTGTATTGTTGTTGGAAAGATTTTTAAATTATTTTTTGTTCTAGGTCTAACGGACAAGGGTCGAGTAGTGATGTTTGATGCCAAGATCAACTTCGACGACAACGCTGAGTTCAGGCAGAAGGAAGTGTTTTCATTAGACGACAAAAGTCTAACCGACGAGAAAGAGGTAAAACTCACTCAGTGGATCTCGTATAGTTTTAGCTGGCAGTGAACGAATTGAATACCTTTATTTAATCCATGATATTTTCTTTTTTGTAGATGTAGTTTTGATTTCAGTTTTGATTTCTTTTCAAAATTCAAATTACTTTGCTTTAAGGAAGACAATTTACGCTCTTATTTTAGAAGAAGGAAATAGCGGAAAAAGTACATGAATGACAATTGTTTTTTTTTTGAAGAGTTGATGAACGTAGCTCAAAAGTGTAAAGTTCACGAAAAACGTGATCAACTTCTACAGTGCTGATTTAAATTAACCGGACAAAACGCGTTAAACTTGAAATTTAAAACGCGTTTTTCTCAAATTGGGTTGAGTTTAGGTGAAATCTTATGAAGACAAAACTTGCTTAAAATTTTAGCAGAATTAATATGGTGTAATTTGTTTTGCGAAATTCGGGCCCGAAATTTTACCCCAAAAATGGATCATTTTGGCTTTTCTTAGTTAATCAAAAATTACGCCGAAAATACCCAGTCGATCACAGTCATAATTGGGCTACGTAAGAGGCTCCCTTTGATATAATTATGTCTGTGATCGACTGGGTATTTTGGGCGTTATTTTTGATTAACTAAGAAAAGCCAAAATGACCCATTTTTGGGGTAAAATTTTGGGCCCGAATTTTGCGAAAAACAATTACACCATATTAATTCTGCTAAAATTTTAAGCAAGTTTTGTATTCATAAGTTTTCGTCTAAACCCAACCCAATTTGAGAAAAACGGGTTTTAAATTTCAAGTTTAACGCGTTTTGTCCGGTTAATTTGAATCAGCACTGTTGTTACGGAAGTGGAATTTAACTTTCAGATGTCCCACTGAAATTTTTTTTTACCATTTGATTCAGTTTTCTCAAATTGGTTTAGTTTCACCAAAAAGTTGTCAAGCTTGAATTGTTCTAGAATTTCATTGAAATTCTGGAACAATTTAAGATTGACACCTTTTCGGTAAAATTAACACAATTTGAGAATACTGAATCAATAGGTAAATTTTTTTATCTCGCTGGGAAACCTGATATTTAAATTCCACTTTAGAAACTAGAAGTCGATCATGTTTTTCGTGACCTTAACACTTTTGCAGTTTGATAGTGGGTTTGCTTTCCTTTTAACAAAGGAAATGAAGTGAAGTGAAACAGAAATTCAAAGTCAAACCGCCAAAAAGTAAAATTGTGACTGAAGTAAAATTACTTTATGAAAAAAAATCAAATTTCGAAATCTCAACTGAAGAAATATTAGATGTCCGTAAAGCTTTTTGAAATGATTTCAACGAGCTTTACGGACATCTATTTTTTTCTTGAAATTCGGAAGTTGAGTTTTTTTCAAAAATTAATTCCATATTTTTTCTGTTTTCTTGCGTTCATTGACTCTTTTCAAGCTGTCTGTTAACTCTAGTTTAATTTTACCAGTGGAATGAAAAAACATATCTTTTGATCTATTGTTTTCAAATTTGATGAGATATATCAAAAGTATCAATCGTAAAAGATTCTTGAAGTTCAAAGAGCTCTAAGATCATAAATTTTTCCTATGAAAATATTACAAAATATAATCAGTCTGTTTTCGATTTTCTTGATTTCATTGATCATTCATTGGCAAAGGTTAAAATGTGGAAAACAGAATTTGCTGAAGTGCTGTCTCAGCCAAGTTTCGCTCTTAAACCCCGCTTAGCGCCTAGACCGCGCTTCCCTCATCATCGGCTCTTTACCCTCGTAGCCCCCCTCCCCACCACGTCACCCGTCAGAGCAAAACTGTCATGGACGCCCTTATCCCCAAGTTTCCCTTCTGTTCTGTTAAGGTAGCAGCACAAGAAGCCAAGCTGAACTACATCAGCATGGATGGGAACATAGCTTGTGTGGTCAATGGGGCTGGACTGGCTATGGCCACTATGGACATCATCAAACTACACGGGGGAGAGCCGGCCAATTTTCTGGACGTCGGAGGCAGTGTCACCCAACAACAGGTAAGATGATGTCTAAACCCTGTTTTGTATTGTGCGGTAAATTAATTCAAATTTCAAACCTTTTTGATTGTAATATAATGGACAGTTAGATGATGTCCATATTTTTTAAATAAACATTTAACACCTACAGGAAACGCTATCGAACTGCTCATTCTGTTGTTGTTTTTCTTTCATTGAAACAGCATTTGAGAACAATGTTTAGTGTTGAACCTAAAAAGTTTTCAGTATGTAATAATCACTAAGCAGATTCATGTTTTTTTGTTTGGTCAGTTCTTGCAATTAAATTTGAACGCCTCTTGTTTCAGTGATTGCTGTTCTATTAAAGGAATTCCTATCTGTTTCGCTTAGGTTCTGGAGGCGTTCAAAATCATGGCGATGGACGAGAAGGTGAAGACAGTGTTCGTGAACATCTTCGCAGGCATCGTGGACTCGGTGGTTGTGGCCGAGGGACTCATAGAGAGCGCCCACTCCCTCGGACTTAAAATGCCACTGGTAACCACACGATAGTTTCAATGTTAGGCTCTTTTCCAGTTTCGTAAATTAACAGAAAAAAAAAACGGTTCCAAAATTGTTCACACGGCAATTTGTATGTAAGAAATTTTGTAAAAGTTTGCTTACCTGTTCACGCTTACACGTTTTAATGCAGTTTATGACATGAAAAGTCATTTAAAAAGATTTTCATATATTGAATTTCAGAAAAAAAAATCAAAGAAGGAGACTGGAAAAGAGCCCAATGTTTTTAAAGTTAAACAGCCAGAGGCCTAACTCGCTGCTTAATCATTTAAGCTTGACTATGCTATGACTTAACTTGCATATTGTAAAGCAAATGGTCGACATGCAAGTTTTTTTTGGGTTTCTAACTGGGTTGGCTGAAAAATAAACATATAATGAAAAATAAACACTATTACATGACGTCTGAAACGTTATGTAATAAATCAATGTATGTTTTCAGTGTTATTCACCATGTTGAAAACAAATTTGTTCATTTTAGAAAGCTAATTTGGTTTTAGTAGCAGTGCGCTTGATTTAATACATTACTTTGAAAGCCTAGTGTAATTTACATGCTTAAATTTTCAAAAGCTCTAGCAAAAAAAGATTGTTTTAAGTGGAACGAAAATGAAGTGTTGTTTGCTTAAATGCAAGTAGTAGGGGTGGGGCTGATGACTTAAATGGCCACCTTTTGTACTATTTTATGGCATTCATTTTTGGCTGACCGATTTCAAAGCTTTTCTTAAGGCGTCTTGGAAGCCAATATATAAGTGTTTCGAGGGAGAAACGCGCGCACCGAAAAACGCGATTTGTTTTCGTCAACGCCTTTTTTGGCTTTTTTTTTCATTTTGGCCGACCTAACATTTTCAAAAATTCGCCTGCATTTCGAAAAAGTCTTAAATCCGCCCCTGATGCAAGGTTGCAAGTAACGAGAAATTGAAGTTAGAATACTGACGAGTTTTTGTTGGTGTGTGCCACAAACACATTAAAAAACCGTTACGTTTTTTTTTTCATTTTATGGCTTATTTTCGTGTATCTTGATTTCGAAGCCTAGTTAAGTCTGTTTTTGAAGCTTTTAAAAATCGATATCCTAATTTTGCTACATTTCAAAAATGGAGGAATATAAACCAGCCGAAGTATAAAACGAAGAAAAAACAATGCGATTACACAATAGTTATGTAGCTGTTACAAAAATTATCAATTTGCTTATCTTCCAAGTAGTGCAGAAAATTTTATAGTGTTTCTGGAGAAATGAGGAAAATCAATTTCGTCGACCTAAAAAAGGTTCTAAAAATTTTTAAAATCTGCGGTCCCCATTCGAGAAAATTCTAAATTTACCCTTGGTTTAAATATTCATTTTAAATTCTTGGTTTAAATGCTCATTTTGGCAGATGTATACTTCGGTTGATTTATCCACTCTAAAAAAGTATAAAATTTTACAAATTTTTCGCATCCATTATTTCACGCTCTACTGATCTCCTCCGTATGTTTATTGAACACGAAGAAATATCTCAAGTTTTCTGAAAGTTTCGGTTGATATTCAATAATTAAATTTTTTGACTCAGCGGTAGTGCTCAAATTGCAATCGAACTCAATGCATACTTTTCGATGGTCGTCTGCAAAGGTTTTCAAAGGGTTCTTTCGCTTTCCTGTGTATATTTTTTCTTACAAAGGATAACATCATTTGTTGACATGTTCATTTTATGAATTTTAAATTTAACTACTGGCGACTAGTTACAACTGGTCCATGCTATATTTAGAGTTCAAATTATTGTATGTATAATTATTGAGTTTCGGTATTAATTTTTTGTTGATGATATTTCGGCTTAATGGTTGTCGGCGTAAGCTGTCGTTTTAGTTTTTGAATTGTGTAGTCCAGTTTGCATAGACTACTTACATAGCTATCATGGACCCAATATGGTCGTCGTATACAATTTTTTCCAATATGGTTTTGTAGCCGAAAACTTTTGGTTGCGTTTCAGCTTATTGGCTTTCGGTTTTAATTCTGTCAGCTCACGTACCTATTTTCCTAAAAATTTCGGGTAGTAATTTTGATATCTAGACTCTGGGACCAATTTTTTGAACCCACCAAGACCTTTTTATAAAAAATTTTGTATAAAATTTAGATTGATTTTTCATTTTTCCAGTTCCTTCAATTGTAACATCGTTCGTAGTTCTTTTTGCTAGTTTGTGAGCGATATGGTGCTTTTATCCTCTTATTGTTTTTATTGCAAGTGGTGTGAGGCTCAGCTTCGCCTCTGCTTAAAAGAATGGAGTCCTAAGTCAAATTTAAAACCTGAAGTGAAACTTACGTGAACAGCTAGTTCGAATGTTAAATTGAATAATCAGAACAAAAAGTTAACTTTTAACAACATATATAAGTCGATATATTCTAAACGCGTTAATATGTTGAATTTCTTCAAGAATTGTTATCAAGGATTCAATATGTCGAGTGGTATCTCTTTGAGCAAATTAAGGTTACTAAGGACTTAACACTATCAAAAATTTTGTACCGATAAAACTTGTTAAATATAGTAAGTGCCAAATTGTTAGCATTATCCATTTCGTTGAAAGAATCCCAATGAACTCAGTTAATGTAAAACTGCTCATTATGTTGGCTGGAACTACTCTTTAACTCATTTGAGCTAAAAACCTTGTCAAACATTTTGATAACCTGAAACCGCCGCAATTTGAACAATTATTTGTTCAAGGTCGTCGATATTCCCAACAATTTTGCATTAAATACAGTGCTGATCAAAATAAACCGGAAACAACGAACAATATTGGAAAATTCAAACGCGTTTTTCTCGAATTGGGTCCGTATTAAACAAAACGTGAAGAGAACAAAAGTTACTGAGAATTTCATCAGAATGATTATGCTGCAATTTATTGTGCGAAATTCACAGCCAAGTTTCCCCCTAAAAAGGGGTCATTTTGTTTTTTTAGCTAATTAAGAATTACGCTGAAGTTACCGATTTAATTAATGATAAAATATGACAAAAGAAGCCTCTCACACAACCCGACAATTTCTCCGAAAAATTCCAAAATTGCGCAAAGCGTTTGAAGTTTGTTTTTGAGCAAAGGTTTGATTTTATTTAGTAAAAATGACTTTTTTTGGCTATCAACCAAAAAATATTGGTTTATGAAAATTTTTGGTGGCACTATAAATTACACCATAATATTTTGGTGAAATTCTGAGAAACTTTTGTTCTCCTGACTCTATGTCTAATCTTGAACCCAGTTTGAGAAAAAAGTCTTTGAAGTTTCAAATTTTGTTAGTTTTGTTCGGATAATTTAAATCTGCTTTCTTTAAAGAGTTGGTAAAAGTGGACAGCTGAAAGAGACAAAAGAAAATAAAAAGCCAATGACCCGAAGCTAATTTTCTAGGCAGAAAGTGTATCTCAAGTTCACTTAAAAACTCATATTTGCATGTAAATAATACTCACAAATAATAGATGACTTTGAATCGATGTCGTCTGTTCCAATTTTTTTGCCACTCGTAGTAACTCTCGGTTGATGTTTCATCTTTTGCAATAGGTAGTGCGTCTGGTCGGTCGAAACGCAGAAGAAGCAATGCATATCCTGAACAACAGTGACCTCAACATCATCAGTGCCCTTGAACTAGACGACGCGGCCATGAAAGCAGTAGAAGCTGCAAACTCAAGCTGAAATGAACTATTCTGAACCATTTCTATAAGGACACGCTAGTTGAGCAGATTTAACGAACTTTGAAAAACTTGCAAAGTAGCGTTAATTTGTTTTTTAGTTCGGCTAATAAATCATGTTGACTCATTGAAGGAGCCGTCTCAATTATTACCAGATCTAAATCTTAAGCATTTCCAAAGATAATATACAAACCAGTCTAAGGCAGTTTTGCAATAAATTATACTTAATCTATTTTCCAATAAAAATGTTGAGCGAATTTCAATATTCAGTTTCTGAGTTAAAATGAGATAATGACCTCTTTATTCCTAGTAAGCGAACATGTTCATTGCGTTTTATCGTCGCAGTGCGACTTGTGAGAGAAATGAGTAATGCTACGATCTCGTTACTCGTTTCACTCGCGAGAGTTTTTCCCGAAACAACTTATCATACAAATCCAAGAAATTGAATTTGCTTTTTCTGGAACCTCAAAACTTGTAGAACTTTCGCACTTGGCATAGTGGCGAAGTGCGTGCAGTTGCATCTTATTGTCTGGAGTTTAATCCCGACCAGGCCTTGATTTTTTCAATATGCATAAATGAAGTTCTTTCTGGAATTTCCAAAGCATGGAATTTTCTTCTGATTTCATTAATTTTTACTATGATTAAAATTCGTTCTGTTATTTGTAAATTTACCGATTCTGATTTTGAGTAAGTTTTTTTGACTAAATGATATCGGCTATGTTTTAACGGCTTATTCATCTTGTATTGCGTCGTTTGAAGAGCTAAAACAGATAACGGATTGGGTGTAAAAATTTTTATGAAAATTTTATTTTCGGCTCAAGGGGCGTCTACCCAGGTTTTATCGGCTAAGTAGCCGATCGATAAATGATAATGAATGCTTAACTAAAACATGTAATAACATTTTGCCACTATTATTGTCTCTTTTCCATCCCCCTCAACTCCAACCTTTGAATTTCAATTTTGATAAACTATTTTAACATCGTCATAATGCTATGAAACTTGGCATGGTGAAAAACTAACAATTCTGAACAGTTTTGTTCTCCATACCTTACATTGTAACTTTACGCGTTCAGCCATAATTACACGTAAAATAACTATAAAACTAGAAAGTTTGAAAGGTGGGGGTGGGGGGGGGGGCGAATGGAAAAGAGCCCAGTTTGTTTCTAAAACTTTAAATACTAGAAGTTTCGGTTAGTCGTTGTATTGGTTAGGTATTTCTTGAAAGCTATAAAACATGTTGATAATGATTTTGAACCTGAATTATTTACTATGGTCACCATTCCATTGCACAGCATTTGTAAAGTTTAACAAGACACTGTAAATTATTTGAAATTTTGATATACTTTCTTTTTCTTGAATTTAATTATTCATTTCCATTTATCTAAAAGTACAAATTAGAGTTGCATGTGGGGCAGGTTTTTTTCGAAAGTCAATTACTTTGTATTTAATTTTCAAAGAAAAAGTTGCTATCTGTCGACTGATTTTTTCGATTGAGTATTTTGAAACTACAAAATCTCCTTACACTAACAAAAACGGTTTGAGCAAAACTTTTGCTCTAAGGAAAGAAATTTAGAGAAAAAAAGTTGGTCGGCGAAAAATGGATGCAAAATGAAACAAAAGGAGGAAACCTACGTGTGTTGAAGGGGGGTTAAGTGGAAAAGTCCAAAATCCTCTCACTCTAAAGCTACCGCCGATTGGCGTGATCAATCAATGAAAATAACTTTTCGCAGATACCCCAAGAACATAAATCAAGAAAGAGTCAATTCGAGGTTCATTGTTGGACGCTATTTTGAATGCTTAATTAAATCATTTATGAGAGGGACGTCTATAGCTACCCCCTTTTTGCAAAAGTACCGTTACTAGGTAACAAAGGGGGGATACTTAAAGAGATCCGCTCAGTTAGCTCGCTGAGTGCTTTGTAAACTCAAGTTTATTCAGCGCTTTTTTGATTGAATTACGATTGTACCAAAAATCAACTAATCACCAATACGAAACCGAACAGACGAATCATGTAATATAATATGAAAGGTATTAATCAATGGCACTGCACCTTTTAATAGTTAGAATTGCACTGCACCTTTTGGCACTGCACCTTTAATAAAAACATTATTTTAGCTTCTTCTTTTCGGATTTATCAAAGAACAGCAGAGCAGTCCCGAAAAAAGTCACGTATACTTGATTAATGCGTATTTGTAGGCATCAGTTTTGGTGGGCAATTTTTTTCGCTGGTAAAAAAGTAAAGGCTTACCGAAAGAACAGTCAAACTAAACAGCGAAAAAAAACTGTTTTTCAGTAGTTTCAGTACCGTTGACTATTATGAGAGGCAGAAAACAATCTGCAGTTTGATAAAACATCAAATTTGTACTCTTTGTAGTACTTAGAATATAGTTGAAAGATGCCCGAGGGAAAAATCCTGGCCTGAGGAACTGTTGAAGAGTATGTTTTTGCTCTTTCTGAGGGGAAAATGCCAGAAAATTGTTATTTAAAACAATTTGATGATCATATCTTAAAAGTCACTTTGTTGAAGTCAAATTTATTACTCATTAGTTCGGAACAAATCATGCTATTATTAAAAGATTTTACCGCATTTTTCTATAATTAATGTGAGACAATTCATGTCATGAACATCCTCGGGGGAGGGAGATCTTATTTGGAACCGAAGGGGAAGGAGTTGAGACAAGTTTTTGTTGTTGTTGTTGTTGTTGTTGTTGTAGTACACTTAAAGTGGTCTTAAATCTTCTTTTTTGGGGATACGAGGGCAAGTTTTACCGCTGGTCTCGTTAAAGTACCTAGGGCTGTTTTCAGTTTACACGAGCGCGCGATGCCATCCGAGCCGGTAAAAACTTCTAACACTCGACCCAGTGGCCAGATGCCTCGTGGTGTAAAGTCCTCAAGTATCCACACGAGGTCATCTTTTTCGAGTGGTTCCTCAGGTTGCGTCCATTTAGTCCTTCTGATGAGAGTCGGAGCGTACTCTTTAAGTAGACGCCTCCAGAAGCTCTCAAGTCTATCTTTTGCTCGCTTCCAGGACTTGTTGGACAGTTTACTGGTAGATGCTTCGTAGAAGGCTGCTGCTGGAGCGCAGACGAATGGACGACCCATTAAGAAGTGGTTGGGTGTCAGTGGAAGGTCGTCGTCAAGGTCACTACTGACATGAGTTAGCGGACGTGAGTTGAGGATTGCCTCGGTCTAGGCTACGATAGTAGCAAATAGATCTCTTGATAGTCGATCAGAACCAAGATTTAGTAAGAATGCTCGTTTTATCAATGAGACGAGTCGCTCCCACACGCCGCCAAAATGGGGGGCAGCCGGAGGATTTAGGCGCCATTCAACATTGTGGATTTGTAGCGTTTCAGTTAGGGTGGTTTCGTTGAAGTTGATTTGTTCTGAGCGTAGTTGTTCACGCGCGCCGACGAAGTAAGAAGTGTTGTCGGAGATTAAACGCTTAGGTGTGCCTCTCCTAGCCATGAAACGTCTAATTGCCGTTATACAGTTGTTCGTAGTAAGGTTCTCTGTCGATTCCAGGTGAACCGCGCGAGTAGAGAGGCATGTGAAGAGGCAAATATAGCTTTTTTCAGTTGTATCCTTTGTTGCTATGTAGAATGGCCCGATATAGTCAATTCCTGTGTTTTTGAACGGAAATGGGTCGTCAGAAGGATCGTCGAAACGAGTTGGCGGCAAGTCGGCCATGAGTGGATGTAGCCCTTTGCCTTGGATTCTTCTGCAGAGAAAGCAGTTATGTCTTATCTGTCTGAGTGTTTTTCGGAGCCCAAAGATGACAAAACTTTGTTGCAGGTAGTTGCGAATGTACTCAGTGCCGTGATGCATGCAGCGGCGACGAGCGCTCTCGATCATCATGCGCACAACTGGGTCCTTTGCGTTAAGAATTATTTGATGCTTTGTTGCGTCCGGTAAAGGTGAGTTTCGTAGTCGTAGAAAAGGTGACAGCTCTTGCAGTTTGTCTTTGTTTTCAACTTGTTGCTTGGTTCGTAGTTGGTTGTAGGTGTCACCAAAGGTTTCTTGCTGGGATTGTTGAAAAAGGAAGAGCTTAGCTTTTTCTAGGTCTTCCATAGTGGTAGAACGTTTACCGTTTCCTTCAGTGTATCGACAAAAACATTAACCCGAGCTGTGACCCGAACTAATCGAAACCAGTCAGAAAACCTGGAAGAATCGATTAAGGGTGTAGTTGAGGGGCTAACCGTTGTAGCATTACTTTGTTCCATTATTTCGTTGATCCCCCAAATAGGCTCATTGTTGAGTAGAAATTGTGGTGCATCCAACCAGAGCTTTGCTACGTCTTTAAGTTCAATTCCCCGTGTAGCACTGTCTGCTGGGTTGAGTGTGCCAGGGATATGTTTCCATTGTTCGGCTTTGCATAAAGTAAGTATTTCACCAACTCTGTTTGCGCAGTAAGTTTTCAGTTTACCAAGTGAAGCGATCCAGGACAAAATAGTAGTGCTATCCGTCCAAAAGTGAGTGGAGTGGGGCTTTAATCGCATTTCATCAGTAGCGAACTTGCATAGCCGAGCACCCATAAGGGCGGCTTGTAATTCCAGTTTAGGAATGCTCTCTTGGTTCAGTGGTGCTACCTTTGTTCTGCCAATCAAAAAAGTAGCGTGTATGCCAGAGCTACAAGCAGTTCGGAAGTAGATACACGTAGCCATTGCGTCTTGCGACGCGTCGCAGAAAACATTAAGCTGTATATCACTAGGTGACAGCTGTGGTCCAAGTAAGCGCGGCAGCCTAACAGGGGGTACTTGTTTGCATTGGTCGACCCATTTGTCAATTATCGGAACAAAGTCTCTGAGCACGGTTTCGTCCCAAGAGATACCAGACTTCCACACATTTTGCAGAAGAATTTTGAGTTTTATGACCCACGGCGCTAGGATGCCTGAGGGGTCGAAAACCCTTGCTACTGTAGAGAGAACTGTTCGGAGTGTAGATGATGTAGTATTAGTTAGCTTGGTTGTTGGTTGCACGAATATCGTAATGTCAGTTGTGTCCCATTTGGCACCCAGAACACGATGCATTGTAGCATTAGTAGAAACTTCGCCTCCATCAATGGAATAGATCGCGTCATTAGTGTTAGATACGAACTTAGTTAGGTTGAATCCCCCCTGTCTTAGAGAGGACTTTAGTTGCGTAGTAGAGTCTCTAGCCTTGTGTGTGGTGTTGAACGAGTGAAAAAAGTCGTCCATGTAAAAGATTTTGTGAAGCAGTTGAGCAATAATGGGTTTGGTTACACAGTAATCGGCAGCTGTTTGATGAAGCGCGAAGATGGCAATGGATGGTGAGCATTTTGCACCAAAGATAAGTCGCGTGTATTGGTATTGTTTGATACCATTTTTGGTAGGCCAAAGGAAGCGAAGCGCATTTTGATCTTCATCTTTAATACCTATTTGCATAAACATACCTTTAATATCCGCCGATACAGCCAGAGGTTTTTCCCGGAATCGTAGTAGAAGTCCAAACATTGTTCAGGAGGTCAGGTCCAGTTTCGAGGCAAGAGTTCACCGAGACGCCTTTGTACGTTGAGGCAGCGTTGGCCACTCTGCGTACCTTCCCGGGTTTGTTTGGATTAGTTACAGTGTGATGTGGGAGGTACCAAAGGAATTCAGGTTGTGGGTATTGGAAAGTAACGGGCTTGACGTAGTTACTTTCCAGGTCAGTAGTAAGCGATTTCTCATGAAATTGCATGGTTTCAGGGTCTTTTCTGAGCAGTTTTTGTAGCGATAGCAGTTGAGCTTTAGCTACCGGATAATTGTTCAGCGATTTCATTTCGTTTTTCTAGAGTAGATTTATTTTGTAGCGATCTCCATCGTGCTCAATGCTTTTTTCCATAAATCTTAGTTGTCGTTTGCTTTTATCAGAGTATGTAGCTTTGTTATCTTCCTGGATGCCTGATCCTTCCACTTTCCAGAATTTTTCCTTTAATTCAGTGATATTAGCGTCT